TTCATCTCCGTATTCGAAGATGATCACATACATAATTGCGATTCTCTACGGGTTGTATCTGCCATAAAAATTTTCATAATAATAGTTTTCGCGCGTGTGGAGTGGCGATGTTTACTCGTTTGGGACGAAAATATCGTTGATGAAAATCGTATAATGCGACTCGCGTGCCTCGTTGAAACGTTTAAAAATCATTGTCGGCATTTCCATTTGATTACGTTTACGTTGAATAAAAAAAACTTTCGATTTTTGCCATTGTGTCGTGCGTCGAAGCGACCGTAGACACGTTCGTTTAAACGACTATTCACGCTCTAGAAAAACTCTAGATCAAATAATATTATTCTACATTTCTGACTTACATTTTTGCGTTAAAAAGAAAAAGAAAAAAATTGCTTCGAATAGAAGAGTTGCCACAGGAAAATTCAGTCCTCTTTCCTATCTGGAATTTTATCGGAGGAGCCGCTTGATTTCGCGCATAACAAAGTTACAGAAGCGTCGGAGAAATTTCCTCGAGGACAGTATCGACCGTGCCCCTTTATCTCGTGGACCTATCGCGTATCTCCACGCGATTTCACTCTCGTATCGGTAAAACGAAGCAACGAGACTTGGAAATTGTATCGCCTTTTGTCGCGAGACAACGGATCTTTCTCCCTTTTCCCCAACACAATCTCGACCAAAAGTAATTGTTTCGCTCTAAAGATAAAGGAATCAACGATTTCTGTTGTTCCACGTAATAATATTCCAAATTTTCTCTACCTTTCCACTTTTTCATATTTTCATATCATGGATGATGTCACATGTGATAACAATCGTTTTTCCTGATATTACATTTTAACTCAATACCTCGATGTAAAACCTCGATTTCTGCTTCTTTTTTTCATCCTTGCGTCCTTTTCAAAATCAATATAGATTAAAACTGTGGTTTTCGTTCGATCAAAAAATCAAATACCGTTCCCAAATGTTTGTTGTATATATGTACTTTTGCTTCGAGTTTGTATCTTCTCTCCAAACGTGTATTTGTAAAGTAAAAATTTATTTTATCCTATTTTTTTATTTCGACCGGTGCCATCACACGTACGATATTCTGCAAATTAATTTTTTACGACGATCACGAAACGATACGCTTAATATTAAGCTCTCGCCATTACACGTCTCCTCGTGGTTCCGAGTCGTTTCATTCGCGCCACTCTCCCCCCGGGAGAATTCACAAAGAGTAGGTCGCCTGGCGGGGAAAGAAGTGGAGCGGCGACGTTTTCGTCGAAGGTAAAAGGCCATTTTTTTTTTCATCGCTCGAATAGAGACGCTCGTCAGAGGTCGCGAGATCATAGAAAAGGGACTTTTGAACGTTAGTAGGGCGTTGTTTAATCAGTGAGAACGTCGGTATACGTGTATTAAGATTATAGGCACGTTCCTCCTTCGAAATTCTTCCAAGTTATTATTATATATATATATATATATATACACTCATACTGTTTCCATTTTATGGGTCGTGAGGGGCGCGATGAACTGGAAGCAATCTCCCTAACGTCATTAGTTGCCGAACAGGAGAGGAGGAAACTTGGTCGTGGAAACGAAACAACGGTTGCATAATGCTGTCGCTGCCTCGTTTCCCGGGCAAGGAAATAAAGCACGTCCTCGGATACAACTGTGAACTTACTTACCAACTTTCTTCTTTAGAAGTCGAAGAAAAAGAAAGAAGGAAAAAGCAAACGAGGAGGATCGTAAAAAGGGCGGTGGCGCCAATGGCCAGAGAGATTCAATTAGGGAGGGAAAGAAGAAGTTTCTTTTTCTCTTTTCTTTTTTTTTTATACGAGATTATAATCGTTAAATCTCTGAAATATTCAAGGGCGGCACATTTGGACGCGAATCGAGGGAAGATTAACGAGCGAAAAAGTCTCTAAAAAGCGGGCAATAAAGGGGGGGAAAGAGAAACAAGGTTTTTGGCGAGTTAACGGATTCGTCCTTGGCCTGGGAACTTGGAAAACCCAGATACAACGGTTGGATATTGGTCGATTCTTGATAAAGCGTCGGGAGGAGCGTAATCGAGGTTGAAACGCAAGGCTCCTCGATGGCCTCTCAACGCGTTTAACTATACAAATCGCGATGACTTTGCTGGGATCGTGTGTGTGGGCGATGAACAGTGAGTGGGTGGCGGTTTCCTCGTGCAACTTTCGCGACGGAATTGCTACCCAATTCTACCGAATATAACCAAATCCGGCGAATAAACGTTCGTCGCGTTGGACCGCATCTTTCTCGATCAATACGAGCGACTCTTCTCACCGAAATCAACGAAATGCTTGTACGAAGTTGTATCCACTTCCCGCGCAGGTAAACCTCTTTCTTTCCACTTTTTCGCTTTCCCTGCCTATCTGTCTTTGAATTTAGAATTTAGAAATTCCTCCATGAAAGAGGAAATTATTTTTCTATGTAACGCCGTTCCCATTTCACGTTTTATTTCGAGAAGAAGATCGTTTGCGTAACGCAGAGTTTAATTAAATTAATTAAATTAATTAAACAAAAATCCAATATGTAGGAAAGAGGAATCGGCAGGGAGAGAAAGAAACGTATCCACGAAATCCCGAAATCTCCCAAAAGCCTGGCCACGGTGATATCGCACCGTGACGAAGGCCAAACGAGAAAAGCCACGTAAGCCTCTCGAGCTTAGTTCGAACGGCGGCGGAGATTCCTTTCGTCGACGTAGCTTTCTCCTCCAGGCTCCTCTCCTCTATTTTTCATTTAACGAAAACTCGATAAACGAACGGTCAAGGTTATATTTTGTCGGTGTCGATGGGGAGGATGGTCGATCGGGGGTGAGAACGAGAGAGAGAGAGAGAGAGAGAAAGAGACGATCGATCGGAAAACGAAGCGAAATTCAAATGAACGCGTGAGGGAAGAGAGGCGAACGGCCAGCAGTGACCATAGCCGCGTATCGCCTTTCTGAAAATTGCGCCTGCACGCGGACGAACCGCGTAAAATTGTTCGCGGTTTGTGGACGGACCACCGCAACAACCCGGCAGAGCGGGTCTCGCGAATTTTTCTGCTCCCTGCGGGTCAAGATTGGGAGCGACTGGATGCGCTTTCAACACCGGTCGAATCTGGGCCGGCTGGGGATGCCACGAATAAATATAACGAACGACGCGATGTTTCGATTTTTATAGTTTCTTTAAATCTTTCCCCCATTTTTCCGCCCCTCTTTTTTATCTTCGTTTATAACGTAAACGATGAATTGTTATCTCTGTATTTTCGTTTTATTTCCATCTTTATTTCATTTTTCCTTCTTTTTTCGATTTTTTTTTTTTTATTTATTTCATTTCAACAGATCAGAAGAAGTTACCACGAATTCTTATTAACCAGGCCAAGCTCTAAGAGTCGGCATCGATCCTTTTCTATAATGGAGCTTGCATACTTGAACGAGGTCCCCGAGAGAGACATTAATCCCGAGTCCGGGAAATTGTGTTGGCCTCTGACAAACAATCGTTAAATCGTGCAATTTTCAGGCAGGAGTTTAGCTGCCTTCAAGCCAGGCTAATTGCACGCACTAATTATTCCGTCAAGTAAATGGAGGAGGAGGACAGAGCGAGAGAAAGAAGGAGAGAGATAGTGTCGTTGCTCGGTTTTAATCAACGTACGGTTTCAACGTACCTCGACCTTGCGCTTTTCCCGCGTAATCTTGCCCCCATTTTCTCCATTCACTTTTCCACTTTGTCGCCAACTCTAAGAATCTTCGTAAAAAAACACGATTACTCTCTTCCACCAGAATTAGCTAGCCTTTATTTAATCCTCTTCGCGTTTCGTGCAAGTAGGGCGGCAAAAGAGAGATATTAGCACACAGTTGCAACAAACGGTCAGATCGAAAATGCTAACGAGCCGGGTTGCAACGACCGCCACTAGAATTAATTACAGGCGGCCTGGGGCACTTTTCCACACCTGTTTCGTCGCTCTGTTCAAACAAACCCATCCAAACTCGAGAGAGAGAGAGAGAAAGAGTTATCCAGAAAGTGGCGATAGATTGCACACTGCCTCGAGAAAATGAGAAAGAAAGAAAAGAAGAAAAATCTCAAAACAAGACTTGTATCCAAACTTTTCTTCGATGGAAGAGAAAAATTTTTTGCGCCAAGAGGAGTCCCAATGGAAACTCGGCGATCAAAGAGCCTAGGAATAGAAGAAAGAAAGAAATTTCGCCCTCGTTACTTGCCCTTTACTCTTCTTTCCAGAGTCCAGACACACTATCGTTTTTTCGAGGAGAATAGGAGGAGGAAGGAAGGCACCCTCTTTGACCATCGTTCCGGAAGATGGCCAGGGTTCGATGACACCAAAGTTTACGAAACGACGTAGAGGTGCTTCTCCCTTCCCTCTTCCTCTCCCTCTCTCTCCTTCGATCGGGTGACTGCGAAATTTGAGGATCGTTGAATTCTTGTATCGCGCGTTTCCCAGTCTTCCAATCGAACAATCTTCCAATTCGAAACATCGAGGAGCAAAGCTGGAGGATTTTCGTCGTCGTGAACAACGATTCTATCACGAGTTTCGTTTGGCCCTTGTGCTCACTCTCCGCGAGAACAGATGGAAGATTTCCTGTACATTCGAATTTCGATGCATAGGATTGGGTGCAACGACTTTCTGTTCTGACGATAAATCGGATATGATCGCGGAGAAGAGGGGCCAAAGGGGTGAAGGAGAGATCTCGAACTCGAACGTTGAATCCGCTTCTGCTTGGTTAAGATCGCGTGTGGGATTATTAAATGATTGAATTGGGATAGAGATAGAGGCAGTAATTTTATTTACTATTGCTCTCCTCGAGATATATATATATATTCGCTGCACGTTCGAATGCGCCATTGGATACCCCGAGGAATAGCAAACGAGCCTACGAGGTATTTTCAAAGGATCGCGTGACACGTAGAGGAAGAGACACGTGCACGTCGAGTTAAACGTATCTCTTTTTTTTATTTTTTCCTCTCTCGAGCTAAGATCCCGGTATTCCTCTCTTCTTTCCCTCGCCTCCCTTTTTTTTCATTCCCTCTTTTCCTTTTTTCGTTCCTCTTTGATTTCCTAGCTACGAAACTGGCACGAGGTTAACGCGATGGAGGCGCAAGGTCGATGTTTGATTAAATGCCAGCCGGCACGTCATATAATTTCCACAACACCCCTTGTCTGATATCGTTTCAATTTGCGAACTTTAAGATCGAACTTTCCCTTCTCCCTTCATCGTGAATGGATTTAGTGAATAAAAAGTTGGAAGGAGGAAAGGAGGGTGGAAAAGGGGTGGATCGATGAGTATTAGGCTATTCTATCGTAATGGACGAAATGCAAAGCCATGAATGAGTTGAGTACACGTTGAAATTTGAGTGTAGAGAGAAGGAGGGAGATGAAATAAGGGATGGCCCTCCCTAATCAAAATTAAGATCTGTACCTCAAGGGGCTTTTTTGCATTTGACGGTTCTGAAAAGCGCGACGATAGTTTTTTTTCTTCTTCGTCTTTTCGTATTTAATTTCGCGTTTTGAAAAGAAACTTGGTTAAACTTTTTTCTACTAAACTTAAAAAGAAGATTTTTGAAGAAGAAGCGAACTGAAAGAAATGAAGATTAAGATTGAAAGGCGCATCACTATTTAATTTATCCAATTTGCATTAATGATTTGCACGAATGATTTTCAACTCTAAAAAAGTTATTTTTCTGAGATGTTTCCAGAAACTCGTGCTACTAAAAAAAAAAATTTATTATATCTTCAAAAATCTCTTTTAAAACAATTGAATTGAATCTTTAATTTAATCAATTCAATTATTCTTTATTGATTGAAAATTTCTCTTTTCAAGCTTCTTTCATTTTTCTTTTTCTTTTTTTTTTTCGAGCGAATATGCTTTAACTTGTCGTTGGCTACTACTCAGAGTTATCGTGAATCGTTTATATACACACACGTCGCGTAATCTTTCCCCTTCCCCTTTGTATTTTACAATCGCCAGCAACTCGAAACCGCAGTTGGCCGTCGTCTCGCGAAACATTGCGCATCACGTCTCCTCTCATTTTTCTCTGGATCCCTGTCGTTGAATCAGAAGAAGAATCCAAAAAAACTCGTCTTGCCTTCCCGCGACGAGGACGAAACTCGCCTATTCTCGATTCCCTCGTTACTCGAAGGCTCGTTCCCTCGAAAAACAGGGAGAAAACAGGACAACTACGTTGCAACGAAAGTGCAAGTTACGAAGTGACGCGTCGAGTTCGATATCGCGTGCGAATCCGAGTTATTCCAACGAGGGGAAAATTTGAACTCGATTGGAATCCGTGATCACCCGCCCTATCATTTCTTCGCGATCAACGACGAAAGTTACACGACGATGCAATATTTCTCGTTATTCCACTCGTTAAATACGCGGCCACGATAAATTATCGAGGAGAGGAGGGGAGTGCGAGGATGAGGTCGATCTTGCCAGGCAACAAATCACATCGTTAAACCGTTAAAACACGATGCGAGGCCTCCACGATATTTGGCACCTGTTTCACAAGGGTTGGTATCATGCCAACAACAAAGTCGAGCAAAGTGCCACGATGACTCTTCCTTTCTCCTCCCCTCATTTTATTCTTCTTTTTTTCCCTCTCCATTTTATTCTATTCGACTCGTTCGACCGTGAATTGAATTGAATTCCGCGTAACACCGCGAATTATTGTGCAAATGCGGTTGCCGGGTCGCCTCCTCGATCCTATGAATTTCCGGCATCGAGGCCTCGTTTAATCGGAAGAAGAAAGAGAGAGAGAGAGAGAGAAAGAGAGATGATAAAAAGAATAGGGAGTGAAAAGGATGGTGGGATATAGAGGCGAAGACGGAGGAGCGACGGTGAATCGAAGTGGCTCAATTTGGTTGATTAAATTGGCCTCGAATTTACGTCGAGGAACGAGTTGCTGGGCTGCGGCAACGTCCATGGTTTATGCGAGTTAACGCTTCTCCGCGAGAGACCGCGCTTAATTCTTCCATCCATCCCACGTTTAAACACCCCTTCTTTTCCGACCTTTAAACCTTTCCACGCGAGAGAGAGAGAGAGAGATAAGAAGATTCGAGCGGGGTTGAATGACACTCGTGGTGCGTGGTGGATTTTATCCAATCGTGGAAATAAAAAAAGAAAAAAAAAAAAGAAAGGAAAATATTTATTCGAAGAGAAGCGAGTGAACCGGCGAGAGTTAATATGCTTCTGCGTACCGTCAACTATTCTGTCAGCTGGCAATTTGGATCAGGGATGGTCGACCGACGTCACGAGATGAGAGTGAAATTTCGTCTCGGTGATGTGAGAAAAGGTACAATCAGATGATATGGAATGGATCTTTTTTTGTTAAATATATATATATTGCTGATTTCGAATTATCGTTCGGTTAATCGAATCTGGAAAATTTTAGTACGATTGAACAATTGGATTAATCGTTAAATATTAACGAGGAGGAAGTGTCATTCTCTTATCGATATAATGGATTTTCCTATTCCATTTAACATCAAGGAAACGCGAATCAATTAGAGACAATTTTAGAGAATTGTATATTAAATTCGAATTTGCATATTAAATCTGATGATTTTCTTCGTGTCTTTTTAAATTCGAGGAAAGTGTGAAATATATATATATGATTTCAATTTTTGAAACGAGATATGAAAAAAAAATTGAGATATGAAATATTGAAAAAATTCAATTTTGAGATAAAAATTGATGTTGAATGGAGGAATGTTAGAAGTATCATGACCTTTGGCACGTTGATCAGTGTTTGTCACGAGGTTAATCGAGATCGTTTGAAGTCATTCCGTAGAATGGAATGCGTAGTGAATAGGGGTTGATACTCGTAGACACATGCTTTAAGCTGAACACAAAGGCCATCTTGATTCAGAATTGAATCTGTCAAGCGTCGACGTTTGTTAATTAGTAAATGTTAATCCGTTTATATTTGCGTGAATGTATTTAATAGGAGATGAACAATTATGTTTGATATTTCATTTCACAACTTTTTTCCCCCTCTCTGTATATTTAATTATCTGGTGATTGTTTATCGCGTGTTGAAATTGTGCGATATACAATGGCGTGAAGAAGAATAGAAATTAACTTGCAAAACAATATTTTTAAAACTCAATGAAACGCGATGCATGATTTGATTAATAAAAACGTCAAGTATATTTGCGTTATTAAATATTTATTTAATCTGACAACAAAAAATGGATTTAATGATTAAATACTTGCTGATTTTATCTCGACGTTTTCCTTTTGATTTATAAAATAAAGTTTAACGATTCACTTTATTTTCTTCTTTTTTTTTATTCCAAAATAATAACATAACATCTTGTTACTTCTTTATAAAAAAAGAAAAAATAATTCTTAGAATTTTTTGCAATTTAATAAATCCTCTTATCTAAAATCAAATAAATAATAAAATTCTACGAGTTCTAATTCTAATTTCTAATTCTAAGTTATAATAGATCATTCCACTTATCATAAAAATGTAAAATTATAGAATCTCTGAAAATTTATCAATCAGTTATCACACATCTATGAAAGCAAATCGAAAGAATCATTTTTTTTCCATCACTCTTTCTTCGTTCCACCGCACACTTAACATAAAATTATAAATTTTCCAATATTACTAAATCGTCACCCATCTACGAAAATTCACAGAATTATTTTTCCTTCCATCTTCCACCACTCTTTCTTGCTTCCATCTCATCCCATTTCATCGCGCATTTAACATTCTTTCGTTTCTTCCACTATATTTAACATAAAATTATAAATTTCTGAAAATTTATCGTACAATTAACGTTATCAAATCATCATCCATCTACGCGAGAAAATTCAGACAACTATTTTTATTTCCATTTTCCACTTTCGTTCCTCCATTCCATCACACGAAATAATTATATCCCTCAAATCAGCTAGCGATCCTCGACTAACGCGCGAACACTCCCCCACTCGTCGGGGGTGTTTAATTTTCGTCGAGCACC